ATAAAGATAAGTTGGGTTTTTAAAAAGTTTATTTACTGATCACGTTATTTTTAATAGGTTTGTATTTTAGTTTGTTCAAGGACGTATTGTTAATACGTCCTTAGTTTGTTTTATAAAAAAAAATTCTTTGGCAAACGCCAAAGGGAAAACCCAAACAAACTCGAGTTTAAAAGTATTGACGTCATTTATTAACTTGTAGTTATAAAATGAATAATGCGCTTCTGTAAATAATGAATGAAACTGTAAAATAATGGAAAAATAAAAACTGGAAAATAATGCGCTTTTGTAAGCGCATCTTTCAGACCAGTATTTGGAACTTACCTGAAACTTAACTAAAATTAAAATAAAGTTATATGTAATACGAACATTTTAAAGTAACTTGAATTAAATTTATCAAATCTTTTTTTACTTTGGTAATTATAAAAAAAACGGAGCATTTTAAAATTGAAAAATTTAAAAATGCTCTGTTTTAAAATTAAATGAAAGAATTTTAATTAAATTTAATAAATTTATTTACTAAAAACTATAATTATTAAAAAAATATTTAAATTTAATAAAATAAATTGAAAATATTTCTTTTTTTAAATTTGATTGTTTATAAACTTATGAAATCTAATATTTAAAATTAAATATTATTAAACAAATTGTTTCTTTAACAAAAAATCTATTAGTTTACAATTGCGGTTAAATGCTTTTACTTACGACTTTAATACTTCTGAATGAACGTCACATAAACGATATAAAAAGATAATTTAAATATTTTTAAAGATTAAAGTTTTTGCGTAACGCATAACTGCTGAACGCGTAGGCAAATCGCTATTTCGCAGGCAAAATGCGAGCTGCGTAACGCTTCTTAACAAGGCCTGATATATATATATATATATATATATATATATATATATATATATATATATATATATATATATATATATATATATATATATATACTGTATTTTTATGACCATGCAAATACTATTTGCTATTTGATCTTATAAACTCGACAGCTTTTAATTTGTTTTGAAAATTTATATATATTTTAAAACACGCTAAAAAATTGTCTTAATTATTAAAGAACTTTAAAAAAAGACTTTTCGTCAAAAAAGCAAATAAACCTTCGAAAAAAAAAAAAAAAGAAAAAGAAAATAACTTAACTAAAACTTAAATAACAAAAATAAAATTAAAACTTAACTAAAATAAATAACAAACAATAACGATAAGATTATTTAAATTACGATTGGAATAAATAATTTTGGATTGTTTATCTTTACTAATGCTTTTAATATATAATATTATACAAAATTCTTATGAATAAAGTAAAAATTTAATTTTAACGATTGTTTAATAAATATGCACATTAAAGAAAGTTAAATAATATATTTTTAACATTTCTTAACAGTAACGTAAACAATAGAAAAATTAATTAAACTGTTTCTTTTGACAGAAACGCATCGCCTTTGAAAAGTTAAAAAAAACTGCTGTAGCCACAATTTTTCTGCCACCACCAGAATCGACACCGAAGGCTAATTACAATATTTACTAAATTTAAATTTGTTGATAAAATTTATTTTAAAATTAATATAGGCATATTTATATTATACTCAGAATATACTAATTTTTTATTTTACTTAATAAAATCTTTAATTGAATAAATAATATTTAAAACTATTCTTTATCTAACTTAGTTTTTAAAATAAAAATCCTAACATTAAATAATAATATAAATAAAGAAGAGGAAGCGGAACTGCTTCAAATTATGTTTCCAACCTCCAATTATGTTTAGTTCTTTAGGACTTTTTATTTCTTAAGTGAAAAAGTATAAAAGTAAGTAAATATATTAAGTATAAAAGAGAGGAAAAAAATTATAATCGTTAGCATCGAGAATTTAAAAAAATGGCATCTAAAGCAAAAAAAATAAAACTATATAATAAACCTATATCTAAGAAAGCAAAAACGTTTCTCTCGTGGGGAACGAAGAAATAATTATATACACCGAAAAAAATGGTCAAGTTAATAAATCTGATGTAAGGTTTGCGCAAGGAACAAAAAAGCTATTTTAAGAAAACCTTCAGTTAACAGAGCAGCAATTGATTTTTTGAAGGCATTTACAGAGGCAACGAATCTGGTAACAATACATCAAGTAAAAATTATAATCATCAACTTATTTTGTTCTATTCAGGAAATACTTTATATTAAATTTTTAATTATATTATTTGATTGAATGTTTCTGAGGTAAATAGTTTCATTTTATTTATGTGCAATTATTCCCACTTGAGAAACTCTCAATATATGGTTTAATTTCATAGTAACCTATAGTAATACAATTCATGGTTTAATTTCATAATTACTAATAGAATTGACGAAAATCATATTGAATTTTCATTTTTTTTTTTTTTTTTTTTTTTTGTAAATTATTTATAACTTAAATATTTTTCACTTTTAAATTTCAGCACATATTTTCATCTCATACATAGCAGATGTCGTTAAAGATAAAGTTGCAAAAATTGTCTACAAAAAAAAAAATTTCTATTCTTTCTGATCATAAGCCAGAAAAACTAAAGACAAGAAAGAGTTAGTTTTTGTGCGCATTGAGCGAGAAGGGACCCTGCCTTTTTTTTTGTATCTCTACTAGAGATGAATAATATGGGAGGTACAGGTGGTAATGCTATTAAAAAAGCTATTGATAGCATTTTCAATAAAACGGGGAATATTCCTTTAACCGATGAAGCCTAAAAAAATCAAAGTTGTCAGCGTTACATTCGACGGAGCTAGCGTCAATTTGGGCATTAATAAAGTGTTACTAATACTGTTACTGTTACTGTTACTAATTCTATTAGTGAAGTGTTAACTCAAATGAAAAGCAATAGACCCTGGCACGCAAAGATTCACTGCATTAATTACCGATTGGAATTGGCAATAAAAACTGCTGTAAAAGAAATTGTAGAGTATAAAGAGTGCGAACACATTTATTTAACTTTATTTAATTTACTTCGCCATTCCGGAAAATTAAAAAGCGAAATTAAAAAAGCTGAAGAGGCATTAAACATTACGCATTATAAATTGCCCAAAATATTGGGAACGTGCTTCATCAGCCATAGAAAATGCCTATTTACCAAATTATTGCATAACTGTCCTTCCCTTATTGTGGGTTGGAAAACGCTCTTGCGAATTGCGGTAATTATGCCGAAATACGCGCTAAACTTTCTGGGATATCATATCGCTAAACTTTCTGGTCTTCATGACCACAGACTATTATGTATGGTTTGTAGTTATTAAGGCGTTTTAGAAAAGTTGAGCCCATTATCATTGGCATTTGAAAAAAATACGTTGATGGTACATTAATTTAAACCAGCATTAGATTTAACCAAGGCTAATTTAGTTAATTCAAGATATAATGAAATCAATGATATTATTGATTCGTATTTAACTAAGTTTAGAATTGTTAAAAAAGATGGTTTAAAAAATCTTGTCTCTTCTTACTTTAAAAGTGGTCACGAGTTGAAAAAATTAAATCCAGAGTTTGTAGAAATTGAGCTTGAAGGTATTACTAACCTTAACGCTGAAAATATTAGTTGTGGTGTACGCGTAAGAAGAACCACAATTGGCGTCATTTTACCACTGATAGACTTAAGATTTAGCTTATTGTTAAACCTTATCTTTGAAGCAATGGATTAGTTAGACCCACAACTTTGGACTGAAGTTAAAATGTAGGGTGATGTCAACATATCTTTACTGTTTACGAATTTGAAATTTCTTTAGAAGCTGCAAAATTGGACTTTAAACTAATTAGTTCCGAATGGAAAGCGGCTAAAATAAAAATAAACACAGATTATAATGGAGTCACAGCTTCACAACTATGGCAGAAAATGTTTTATTTTGTCATAAAATAGAGTACCAAAACCTACCTCTTTTAGTTAAACTTGTTATGTGCATATGGGGTGTCCTGAAAAAAAAAAAAAAAAAAAAAAAAGCTCTCTACTGATTCCCATTCTATGTGACCTAGATAAGTACTAAAAAAAATTTGACGGTTTTATTTTGACAGAAAGTGCTAGATGTAAAATCTGAGTTTTACTGTTTTAATGTTAAGCTGACTTAACATTACTAGAAAACACAATTTTTTTACATTTTAGAAAATTAAAACAAAACATTTAAATGCGTATAAATCATTTCCAATTGTTTTCTACTGTTTAACTTGATAGTTTATATTTATAAATATGAAAATACAAAAAAAAACAAACATGAAAATTAATATTAATTAGCAAGTTTAAGATTTTATTGTGGTGAAAGATTTCTCAAAAAATACAACTTTTTGAGCAGTTCCCAAGCTCCTTTTTAGTCATACTTTTAATCAAGTTTTTTCTAGACTTTTTATCTACAAAAAGTACATTTTGAAGGTGATCTTCATCTCTAGTAACTGAAATAAAATCTTTAATGAGCTTAATGTTTTTTTCTGCACCATCATTTACAACAGATATGTTTTTGATCCATGCAATAAAATCAAGCAACTGAAGATGGTTAAAAACATCTATAGTATTAAGACTATTATTGAGCCATTCTTTTATACTTGCTCTTGATATTTTAAAATGTTTGAAGAAAAGGTAGCTTTGCTCAGAAATCAGCTCAGGTAGCTTTGTGGTTTCTCCAATTTGTACATTTGATGGTTTACAATGCTGAAATTCATTTGGCTCTTCAAACTCAATCAGAGCTAACAGCATTCTTAGCTTTGTTTCAGAAGGAATTTTTTATCCCTAAAGGACAAAACACAGAGTTGTGGAGTTAAGTACCACATATGGCATCCCATGCTGAGAAGCAAAACATTTCTAATATTCTTATTTTCTCAATGCATAGGCTGTCTGGATAGCTTTCAAATCATTGCAGGGAGCCAGAAATCCTAAAAATACTTTTCAAAAACCATGGAACATAGCAAATTGCAATGAACAAACTTGCATCCTTCAAATGCAGCACTTCTTTTCCTGTTAAGATATTACTGATATCTTTGGTCATATAAAGAGTCAGGATGTAGATCGCATCTGCTAACAACCTTGCCTCATGGCAGGCGCCAGGTTGATGGAACTTAAAATCTTGTACTTTTGCTCCAAGGAAGGAGGCACGCTTACAAATTATACCATAACCATTCCTTAAAAACACTACAACAGTAGTTGCATTAGTCAAAAATATCTTAGCTTCCTCTGCAACAGTGCGAAGAACAGAGCCAATTTTCAGATCATCTCTTTTCCAGTCCAATTTGCCTAAATTTTTCACTTCATTAACTTTCTCACAGATTTCAGGCCACTTGTTCTTTAGCTTGACATAAAGAGCTCTTCTTAGACCTTTAATTTTCTCACCAGTAAGAGCAGCGATATAGTGAGATACATGTATTTCATATGTGTCTCTTACACATTATCCACAAAATTGGTATTTACAAAATATCTGTAAGAATTCGGACTGCTCCATTGACTTCGCCTGTATTGCTTGCAGTTGTATCACAGCATAAACCAATGATCTGTTCTTTACATCCGTAATATTCTAAAAGATTGTGCACTTGTTCTGTTTGGTCAACTCCCTTTGAAGTGGAACATTGAACAACACCTAAAAGATGGTCTTCCATGGTATCGTCATCCGGGGAACTCACTGAGACTGCAAGTTGCTTGATTTTTTGAATTATGTTAAGCCCAGTGGTAATTTGTTCCAACAGTTTGGTATCAAAATGAAAAATAAGCTGTCGGCCTTTAAGATGATTAGTTATTGAAATCCACTCCAAGTCTCCTTTAAGTTCTACATATTTGAACTTTTTTCTATGAAGTCTGCTTCATGAAAGCGGTATATCATTAATTTCTATACCTCCAGCATTAAATACTTCACTTAAAATTGCCAGATGAGGTCGTACACCAACATTGAACCTTGTTGCTGGAATACCAGTACATTCGATGAGCTTTTTAACATTCACTGCTAGATTTATCTCCAAAATTGTACCTAGGTATCATTTTATAATACTTTTCTACTTATTTATAATTATATACTTTTCAATAAAACAGTTTTAGCTTCTGAAAATTACAACTATGGTATTAAAATAATCAGGTATAATAATAATATGGTATTAAAATAATCAATTAAAATAATAATAAAACCTCAGGCTTTATTTTAAATTTTTATCTTTTTATTTTTTGAAGACATTAACTTTTTCAAATTACTGCAATAATATTAAGATTACCACAAAGCAAGTTAAATACTGTTAAACTTGTTCTTTCATTTGTTTTAATATTAAATAAATAAATTTGATATTAAATTAAAAAAAAAAATTTTTTTGATTAAAACTTATTAATAAATGTATACCAAGAAAAACAAATCTTGTTGTTTTAGTTGAAGCTCGTCTTCTCCGTTTTCTGTGGTATTTTGAGTATGTAAAATAAACGCGATTTTCTAGGCGCATTATACAGATTTGATAATTTATTCAAGCGCGTTTAATTCATAGGAGTTTTAGTGCATGACATCATAGTTTTTTTTGTTGTTGTTTACAACACCAATTGTTATTTTTTACATACAATTTCCAAATCATATTCATTTTTATTATATTTTATTGTTCTAAAATGTGTTTTAAAACAAAATGTGTTTTAAAACAAAATTAAAAACAAAATAAAATTAAAAACAAAATAAAATTAAAAACAAAATAAAATTAAAAACAAAATAAAATTAAAAACAAATTGAAATTAAAAACGAAATAAAATTAAAAACAAAATTAAATTAAAAACAAAAATAAAATAAAAAACAAAATAGTATTTTATTTGCGCAACTTTTTTTAAATAATCGTCTCGACCACATGTATTTTGATTTCTTTTGTTATAACTTTTTCTTTCAAAATATTAGATAAAATAATTTTAAATAATAATGCACTTTTATTAATTTACTTTGTATATATTAAAAAAAATATATTAATGCATTTTTTCTCTGATTTTCAAAAATGTATTTTCTGGTATTGAGCTGATCTTATTATTTATATTTCCATTATAACATCCAATATATACTATGGCGGGGGCTTAAAAATTAAAAAATTAATATATATTTATAAAATTAATATATATAGACTTTTCCTTCCTGCTTAGACTCTTCTACAGCTTGCGGCCCGGACAACATACCCATTATAGTCTTGCAGAAGTGTTCTCTGGAGCTGTCGTCTATCCTTTCAAAACTATTTAACAAGTGCTTATTAGAGTCTTGTTTTCCAGCCTGCTGGAAAGCAGCATCTGTTATCCCTATTTTTAAAAATTCTGGAGAGCGATCCGATTCGTCTAACTACCATCCCAATAGTCTTCTTCTTTTCATAAGCAAGGTTTTTGAATCTTTATTAACAAACACTTAATCTCTGATCTCGAATCTCATAACCTACTTTCTGATCATCAATATGGATTTCAATTTTCTCGTTCTACAGCTGATTTGCTATCAGTAATAACCGATATATTTTATTACGCTTTAGATAAAGGTGGAGAGGTTAAGGACATCGCGCTTGACATTTTTAAAGCGTTTGATAAAGTTTGGCATGCTGGTCTTTTCCATAAGTTTTCTTCTTACGGTGTATCTGGAAACATTTTTAGGATTATTGAATTCTTTTTTATTCCAATCGTAGTACAAAAAATGTCCTCGATGGACAGCACTCTTCTTCTTATCCTGTAACCTTAGGGGTTCCTCAAGGTTCAATCCTTGGCCCTATACTCTTTTTAATTTACATTAACGATAACGAAAGGTGGCATTGTTCGCTGATGATACTACCACTTATTCTTTATTTGATTACTTGCAGGGGCATCTGAGCTTTAAAAGGATCTCACTTCTGCTACAACATGGGGCTCAAAGTGGCTGGTGAACTTTAATTCAGATAAAACTTAATTTTTTTCAGCCAATCGTTATCGCAATAATTTAGACTTTTCTATTTTTATGAACGGTAATGTACTCGATGAGTCTCCTACCCTTCATCTTCTAGGATTAACTCTTACTTCTGATTTTTCTTGGAAACCATATATCAAATCCGTTGCAAAATTAGCATTTGCTAAAGTTGTTTCTCTTTATCGAGCTCGACACTTTCTTACTTTTGATTCTATTTTCTATCTCTATAAATCTTAAATCCGGCCTTGCATGGAATACTGTTGCCATATCTGGGCAGATCTTCTAATGATGCCCTTTCTCTTTTAGACAAGGTGCAAAAATGCATTGTAAACATAGTTTGACCTGCTCTTGCAGCCAACCTTCAACCTCTGTCACATCGTCACAATGTTGCTTCTCTTTCTCTTTTCTACAAATACTATAATATATATATGTATGTATATATATATATATATATATATATATATATATATATATATATATATATATATATATATATATATATATATATATATATATATATATGTATATATATATATATATGTATATATATATATATATATATACATATATACATATATATATATATATATATATATATATATATATATATATATATATATATATATATATATATATATATATATATATATATATATATATTATATATATATATATATATATATATATATATATATATAGATAGATAGATAGATAGATAGATAGATATATATATAGATAGATAGATAGATATATTTTTATATAAACATGTTTTTTTTTTTGTAGAAACATCAAAATGGGACAAAATAATACACATCTAAAGAAACATGAAAACATTCTTTATAGCCAAGAATTTAAGTTAAATTTTAGTGAAAGTGTTGGAGTAGATTGGAAAACACTGGGTCGTAGATTAAACATTGAAGACAATTATTTAGAGATGATTGATCATGATGAATCCAAAACCCCTGAAAAAGCATATTCAATGTTAACTACTTGGATGCGAATGAATGATAATCCATCACTTAAGGAGTTAAAAACAGCTTTAAGAAAAATGAGGAGAATGGATCTAATTAGAAAAATTGATAAATTTACAAGTAATTAATTTTTAATTTATAATAATTAACAAACTAATTAATAATATTTTATTTTGTGGAGTTAAAATTTTATTATAAAAAATTCTTATTCAATATTAGAAACTATAATATTGACAGTCAGATTTCAAACTCTATTCGAATAAGACTTTAACAAGATACCTAAGATATTTATGTTTCTAGTAATGAACTTGACATGTAGTAATGAACTTGACATGTAGTAATGAACTTGACATGTAGTAATGAACTTGACATGTAGTAATAAATTGACATGTAGTAATGAACTTGACATGTAGTAATAAACTTGACATGTAGTAATGAACTTGGCATGTAGTAATGAACTTGACATGTAGTAATGAACTTGACATGTAGTAATGAACTTGACATGTAGTAATGAACTTGACATGTAGTAATGAACTTGACATGTAGTAATAAACTTGACATGTAGTAATGAACTTGACATGTAGTAATGAACTTGACATGTAGTAATGAACTTAGTATTTGTGAAATAAAATAGCTACTAAAAGCAATAAGCATGTTATTATGAATGATGCCCCATATAAAAATACAGTTTAACTAGTGGATTAATTATCTAACTTCAAATTATATGATAAACTTTACAATAATTCTGGATTAAAACTGCTTGGCTGGAAACTATTTGTATAGATTTATTTTGAAATTTATCAGGTTTTTAATTTGACATTTGTTTTATCTCTAAACTTGCAACAATATAATAAGGTAATGTAGGTAACCATATAATAGGTAATATAGGTAACTATATAATAAAATGTAGGCTAAATGTCTACATTTTATTTTGACTGATTATTCTTAAATAAAGTTATTTTTTTTCTAATTTTGTCATTTTGAGATTTAAAAATTATTCTTTCATAGTTTTAGGTATTTAAGGAAATTTTATTTGATCTAAGTCATTGAACCACACAAGGCTTCTTAGTTTAGGATTTTTATGAGAAATATTCAGTAAGAAAATTTATATCATCTGCGAAATGATGATATAAATTTTGCATTTATGTAAGTCTTTATATAGGATAACCTTTTAAGAATTTGTGGCAAAAAAAGCTATAAGAAACTACAAAAAATAAAACAGCAATACTAGAAAAAAGGTACTGAATATTATACAATAAATCTAAATATAATAAACTAAAAAAAGAAAAATTTTGTCAAAAAAAAAGTATACAAATGTTATACTGTTTTTTTTTTCTTTTTTTATATAGTACTGTTGTAAAAAAATGAAATATTGCTTGATGTCATAACTCAGAAAAAATTATTTTGGGGTATGTTTTAGTCATATAGGTTATAAGTCCCTAAATCTGGTTACACAATCCATGGAAGAAAATCCATTTTTGAAATTTTGCATAAAATCCCATTAAATACATCGCTGATAAGTAACTGACAATGTTGGTTTTAAGAATTTTTATTCATTCCAAAAACATAACAAAAATATTTATACAGTAAATTCACTGGTAAATAACAATTTATTATCAATTTGTAATCAGTTTATAATAAATAATTCTTACAAAGTAAAGTTTCAATTCTAATTGTTTTTTTGTCTTGGGAAAAACGTCTTAACTGATTTGTAATGTTCCTACTAAATTTTTTTGTGGTTGAAGTCTGTGATGAAACTTTGCAGCCTGTCTTCATATTTTGGGTCTCTTGTACCTTTGTCAATTGCTACTGAAAAGACAATGGAGCGCTTCAGTTGTTTGCTCTAAATAAATTCCTAAAAAGCTATTGTGGCGTTGGATGAATTGTGGAACATGGTGAGTGACAGCATGAGCCTTGGAAGTGATGGTGGTGTCATGAAGTTTTAATTAGGAGGCTCTGAACTGCTCAATACTTTCAACATAGCTGTAATCAAGAGCATTGCTAAAACAAGCATGGACAACATTGAGTTTTCTTAGTGTGTCAACAAAGGGAGCTGGAAAGAAGGAATGTTGCTGGGTCAATCTCTCCAAATCATCCACATTCTTAAAAAGCTTCTTTCACTAATTTCCAGCCAGTTGTCCACCATGAAATGGCTGCTGTTGAATATGAAGTAATGCCAGCCATTGAGGACCATGTGTCCAAATCTTAGAGAGAGACTATAGAAGATGATTTATGACACCAAACAACAGATGAAGCTAAATGGCTGATTGAATTTCAATAAGAACAGATTATTCTGAGGCATTGATGTTGAGTTCATAAACAGAGTTTCTGAATGAACTTGCTTTCTTGATGTTAGCACCAGCTACATTGAATGCCTGATAGTTTCTTCTTTTTGATCCAAAAGGTTTTAGAGGGTCACACTTAGCAAGATCTTTTGATGAAATGACACACCAAGAGCATTTGTGTGCACTAGAATGTGCTTGTAGACCACAAATGATATTTGTCAGCTACATATCACAGGACAAAACTGAGGGAAGCTTTTCTATGTTCAGCAGATCAAAAACTTGCTTGACATTGCTTGACAGTTTTCCTGGAAATCTTCAGGAATGGCAATCAGAAACTGACGCTTAACACCAGAATCTTAGGCCAGAGAATTGGTGGAGATTGTGAAGTTGAAAATTTTTTCTTGATTCCAAAGCCTACTTTTAGAAAACCACAATCCACTCCCAACTTCATAACGTAATCATCAGAGAGGTTTCTAATTTAAAAATCTTGCTGACAAAGAGCTTTCAAGCCATTGCAGTGAATGATAATTTTATCCACCTGATTTGCATTCTGCTCCTTTAAAAAAACACAAGAGCCCAGAGTCACTGGATTTTTGCGGCTTCACTAAAAAACAGCGGCTCCGCGGATCAGGCACGGCTCCACAAGCTTGTATATATGTTTGCGCCTTATTTAAAAATTAAACTAAGAGGAAATGTTATAAGTAATCTGATTATGAAGAGATATGTTTCATTCAAAAGCAATAAAAAGATTTATTAAAAGTATTGTTTTACTTTATTTACTTAACATTTTAAAGACTTTATCTTTACTATTGGTTTCAACAATTAAATGTAAAAAAATATTAAAACAAAACATTTAATGATTTAAAAAGTTGAATAATCTTTTTTTTAGATTTGTATAAAAACCATTTTGAAATTAGTAAAAAAAAACATGGTGTTTTTTATACTTGTTTTTCAACTTGTTTTTCCACACAGCAGCCTTATTTGTCAAGGTTTATGTTTTGGAGTACAGATTATAAGATTATAACCACAATTAATGTAGCCTCCTCAACTCTAGTGGCCTTTATGGCCTTGGCCAATGGAAATTCAGCTTGGGGAGCAGAATTAGCATAAAAATAAAAAAGTAAAAAACAGGTTTGGTCAAGAAATGGGTGTGATTGCACCCTATTCTAGACCACACAAATTATAATTATTTACTATAATATGGTCACTACTTTTTAGATGTTTAAAGAACATGCAAGTTTATGTATGTTTCCATGTATGTCTGAAACGTTTTGACATACTGAAATAATTAAATTTATAAATTACCTTTTTCATTCAAATGTTTTTATATTAACAAAACTTAGCAATGATTTACTTTTATTGATCATTTATAAAAATTTTTAGTTTTATTTTTTAAATTATAAAAAGTTAAGTAGATTTTATTAAAAATTATATAAATAATTATATATATAAAATTATAGATTAATTTTTTATTCTTTAAATGTAAATCTATGAAAAATATTTGTAGAATTGGTTTTATAAAAATAAAAATACCTTCAACAACAACTATGTTTTCAATAAAACTTAAAAAATAAAAATCATCAAAACTAATAAAATTAATAATCAAATAAACATACAGGAACCTCCACGCAAATGAAATAAACATTCATATACACATAGTTAGTTGTGAGTGGATTAATACTGCGCCAGAGGGTTGAAAAAAACATAAATATAATATTTATATAAAGTGACTTATGGGTCAAGTAGCACTGTGTCAGCGGTGTATACAGAACACAAACATACAAATATATAAAAAAGCCCACTCTCTAAACTTTATCAGTGGTATTATGAAGCAGTTTTGCTTCCTCTTCATAAATATATTTTACCTTTTTAGTTTAACCATAAAAGATTGTATTATAATAATTTGATGCAATAAAAACATGCATCAAATGTTTTTTTAATAAACGAGCATTAATTTATTAGTTGTTAGCATTAATTTATTAGTAATTAATTAGTAAGTTGTTACTTTTAAAAGTGTCATTTAGTTTTATAAAAAACCTGAAAAAAATGTGCTTATTTTTAAAATAATTATTCCAAATAAGTTGTTACTTTATTTAAAAGGGTTTCCCATAATATTATAAAAACATTCAAGATAAAACTTAGTTTTATAAAAAAAATTATAAAAGAGAGAAGTTTAGTAATAATTTATGGTAAATGTAATTTTTTTTTTTTTAGTAAAGTTTTTTTCTTTGTTAAGAGTTTTTTTTATTAATTTTTTAAAATAGTTTTCTCCCATCAAGTTAGGTTTTTTGTTGCGATTTTAGAAATGTTCCCAAAACATCTAAAGTCTTGTTGCATCTAAATATTATATGCGTGGTCAGATATAGAGTATGATTGCACCCGCTTACCAACCAAACCTAAAAAAAGGTGCTTGTTTTTAAAATGATTATTCCAAATAAGTTGTTACTTTATTTAAAAGGGTTTCCCATAATATTATAAAAACGTTCAAGATAAAAATTTCTTATTTTATAATAAATATTTATAATAAACTGTTATAAAATCTTAAACTACTTATAATAAACAACTTAGATAAAGATAAAAATGATTAAAAAAATTTATAATAAAAAAAACTTAAATTAAATAATGTTAAAATTTTAGTTTTTTGAGTTATTTTAATTTTTGTGTTTTAGTTTTTTTATTTACTCTATTGTTTAGATTTCTTTTCTTAGTTTAAATTCAGATATTTTTAAAGTTTTTATTTGTTAAATCTAGATTAGTTTTATTAGCGCTTTTTCAGTTTTTTTGAAATATTAAAATTTTCAAAAGATATTAACAGCCATGTAGTTGCCAAAAAAAAAGTTATTTTGTTTTGTTTATTTGACCATACAAAAAACCATTGTTTTTTGTGTGGTCAACAAAAAACAGTGGTTTTTTGTTTTTTGAACTTGTTATCTCACTTTAAGACAATGTTGAGCTGTTTGCTTAACACTCTTCACCAATCTCATCTCTTGTTTCCTCTAATCAGATGATATAGCTGACTGACAGGGTAATCCATTGTTTGATGTTCGTACACTTTAGCTTCTGTATCTAAAGTGATTTCCTATTTAGACTTTTCTACAACTTGTGGTCTGGACAACATACCTGTTATAGTCTTGCAAAAGTGTTCTCTGGAGCTTTTTTTTGCACTTTCAAAACTGTTTAACAAGTGCTTATCAGAGTCTTGTTTTCAAGCCTACATCTGTTATCCCTATTTTTAAATTTCTAGAGAACGCTCTGACTTGTCTAACTACTACCCTATCTTAAGCAAGGTTTTTGAGTCTTTAATTTTCAAACACTTAATCTCTCATCTTGAATCACTCTTCTACATTTCCTGTAACTTTAAGGACTACTCAATATCCTTGGCCCTATACTTTTTTCAATTTACATTAATAATCTCCCAGAAATTCTCACATCTAAGGTGGTGTTGTTCACTGATGATATTACCATTTATTTTTGTCTTGAAAAGAGTTCAACACTCTCTGATTGCTTGTAGGGGGCAATATGAGCTTGAAAACAATCTTGCCTCTGCTACAGCATGGAGCGCTCAGTGGTTGTTGAACAATAACTTAGGCAAAACTCAATTTTTTTAAGCTAATCGTTATCACAACAATCTAGATCTTCCTATATTTATGAAAGGTAACATACTTGATGAGTCACTTAGCCTTCTTCATCTAGGATTAACCTATACTGGTGATCTTTCTAGAAAAGTATATATCAAATCCGCTCTAAATTTAGCGTCTGCTAAGGTTGAATCTCTTTATTTTACTTGCCATTTTATTACTCCAGATTCTCATCTTTTTTATTGTAACATAAGCAATATAAGCTTGAAAGTGATCTTGTTTCTGCTACATCATGGAGCGCTCAGTGGCTGTTGAACATTGACTCAATTTAATTTAGGGTTTGGTTCTCCTAAATCAGATGCATGTTTATTTTGTGAAAGAATTTGAAACCAAATGCAGATTGAAAATGACTCAAAAAAGAAGAACAGTTTAATTACTGATTTAGTTGTTTAAAAGCATAGAGCAAATTGTTTATAAGCATAGAGCAAATGCATTCTATGATCTTTTAAAAGAAAAAAAAGTTTAAAAATTATTTGCTTTGACCATCAACAAAACCAAGTCATCCCTAAAGTTCCAGATCAACAAGCTTATTATAGTAGACAACTATACATATACAACTTTTATGGTATAGAAAATAAAAATAACGGATCTTTAAATCAAGATAATGTCACTATCTATACTTGGAATGAAAGCGATTTCAAAAAAAAATAGCTCTTCTTTTTCCAGTACAGTATTTGACAAGCTCTGCAATACAAACATGGATGGCATAGACACTGTTCATTTAGTTTCTGATGCATGTGGTGGTCAAAATAAAATGTTGCTTTAATTTATATGGTTGGCTTCTGGCTGTTAAGACATGCACCGATTTTAGTAAAATATTGCTCCATGTCTTAACAATATATATTCTCCAGAAGAGTTCTATAATATAAACAGGAAAATAAATGCTTTTTTATCACAAGAAGATCGCCTAAAAATATTAAAGTCTAAGGACAACCAAATATTAAGTTTTTTCTTAACAGTCCTCAAATTATAACAAAAAGAGGTCATGATTGTTGATCTTGTCCATCTCAGATCCAGAAAGGAGTCCCAGTTTCAGAGGTTAAAAAGAAAAATATCAAAAGTTTGATTCTTGTGCATGCAAGAGTAAATTGGGAGCAAGATAATCCTTTTAATTTTTTAAAATGTTTTGTTAATGATTCTTTATAATAAAAAAACGTGTAGAAGACGAGGAAGATACTAAATGCAGCTGTATTGATAAAGATGCTGTATGCAGACATATTTAACTTTTTGATGTATTTATTCCTTTTTTTTTTTAAATTATTAAATTTTTTTAATTATTAAATTTTTGTTGTGTTAAAGATCAATTTCTTAATAAAAAACTAGGTTTTTATTGTAGTCTTTTCTTAATTCCCTATGTTTTAAATTTCCTTTTCGATACCTTTTTTATAATATAATTATAAAGAAGTTTATAGCTCGTGTAGATTAAATCCTTCAAAACATTTTAATTAGTTTTATTAAGCAAATGATCCATCTGAATTCAACCAAACATTTTCAAAATAATCTAAGTATGTCTGAAATATTCAAATTAAGCTAAGTCCGAATTTCAACAAGGTTTATTTCGAGATTCTAAAGAGTTGCATTTTTTTTTGTGCACGTTATTTAATTGTCTCTACTTGATAATATCAAATTTTTTAAATTACGTAAATTTAAATTAGTGTAAATTTAACAAACACAATATTTTTGGAGCGCTAATTAAGCCTGGGCACAATTTTCTTTGATTTCTCAAAATCAAATTACTCGGACTTATGGCGTTTTGCAAATGGGTTCCTCAATTGTTAAAAAAAAACTATATATAAGCATTTAGTTCTGTTTTTACTTTTTTAGAACTTTTAGTTTCATATTTCTTATTTTCTCAGTACTTATTTCATAGATTTCATATCTATATTGTTAAAAACCACTTATTTAAGTAATATTAATTATTTTTAGCAAAAAGTTTAAAAGAAATTAACTTTGTTGAACCATAAAAGTTTTATAACTTTTGTAGCATTTCCACATAAAATATTGTTAAGAAAAAAATTTTTTTGCATATGAATTCAATTCAGTTTGTTAATAAAATGTCATTTAATGTTATTTAAATAAAATTTTTATTGTCAATTAATACTATTGCTAATAATAAAAGATTAGCTAACAAGAACTATACATTGTTTTTTTATTTGTTCTTTTATCCCGTTTTTGTGTTCCTTTGCTCAAAAACAATGGTTTTTTAATGAAATTAAAAAGTTTATAATAAAATTGAATCATTTAGAAACTTTGAGTTCACCAGAAAGTTCTTCCAGAACTTCTTCTAAGAAAGGTAATTATAATGTTTGATTTATTTAAAATTACTCAACATTTACTTCTAAAATGTTTTGTGCCACAAAACATTTTAAATGTCAAGTACTTCGTTACAGTGTTGTACAAATAATATTTATTAATTTTTTTTTTATGCTAAATGTTTTTCTCATGTCTTTTTAAATTAAAGATTTTTTTTTTGTACTTTTAACTTCAAAATTTAAAATCCTAAAAATGTAACATTTTTTATGATATATATATATTTTTATGTTATCCTTTTTTTAGTTAGATATTAACTTTTTTTTATTATGCCCTACATGCTTAGTTTTGCTGCTTGTTTTATTTTTGTTACAAATCAATAATTCTCTTTATGTCTTTAAATGAAGAAAATGCTTTAAAAGCTAGTTAAAAAATAGTTTCCTTTTTGATTTACTTTCATTACAATTTTTCAAAAAAACAATCTTTGAGAATTCCTTTTTCTGACAAGAAAATGTTCTCAATAAAATATATAACTGTCAAAAGAATCTAGTCTCCAGATCATGTTGATGCTAATAAAAATCATGGTATTAAATTATGGTTGGAAGTTTGTTCAGAAGACATGTTTTTAATTGTATTAAATAATTACACAGTAAATCATCACAATACATTGATGAAGTTCTAGATTACAGAAAATAACTTATTTAGAGATGATTGGATATTTCAGTAAGGTGGTTACCAAACCTCATACTCAAAAAACTTTTTCCAAAATTGTGTAACAATCGTTTTTTAGATTAATTGACAAAAATCATTGCCCAACAAATTCTCCCGACCCTTTATAAAGTACTTTAAGACTAATTTGTTCACCAAATGGAGCAACTGGAGCAAAAAGTCAAAAAAAAATTTAAGTGCAGAATTAAAGCTAGCTGTGAAACTAATTGGATTTAATTGGGAAAAAAGTTGCACTGGAAACTTGTAATAAAAAACATCAGAGATTTTTGACATTAATAAACTAACTTTTAAAAGTAATTTTTTGAGAAAAAATTTAAATGGATAGAGTAAAAAACTTACTGGATTGAAAGCAAAAAAAAAAATGTTTGGTTCTATATGTGCAACAAATTATGGGCATTTATACAAGTTAGCTTAGTTTGGTTACTTGTTCTCTCATTGTTACTGATCATTAATTTTGTTTTATTTGTCAGTAGCTCATGTAAGTTTATATCATTGTTTGCAATATTTTAAATATTCCCAACTAATATTGTTTGAATAACACAATTTTGTTATATTCATATATCAAATGTCACATTAATTGATTTTTTTTAGAAACTTAACTTAATGATAATAAAAAAAAAAAATTGAATTAGTTATTTCAATTTTTTTTAAATTGAGTTTTTTACTTTATTTTTTAGTTTATATTGATGAACTATACTTTTTAGATAGGGGTTGTATCAACAGTGCTTAAAAATTTAAATTTTAAAAAATTATGTAGTGAATTTGTTTAAAAATAAATATAAATATTAGAAGAAAATACTGACTTTGCACACAAAGAGCATAACAGTAGATGTTCTTGGTTTTTAAAGTATTAGAGATAGTTTCAGGATTTATATCATGTACAGTTGCATGAAATGTATAAGAATTATCTATAAATTTTATCGATTTCACAGTTTAAATTGTGTGTTTAGGTCTTTTTCTTAAGTTTTTTAAAATTTTATTTTAAAAACCTTTACAAAATAACTTAAAAAAGATCTTAGTCATTGAACTAAACATGCAAGGTCATGTTCAGGATTCTTATTGAGTTTTTTGAGCATTTTTTACATACAATATTTAGTATCATTAGCAAAATGATGTTTTAGAAAGTTTTACACATATGCAAGTCTTCCTGGGAAGCGTGTGCAGTCTCATGCTTTGTTTGTCCACGTTTAAAGTAATTTTTTTTAAACAATTTGATGTTTTTATATAATAAGCTTTTTAAGAATTTGGAAAAAATTAAAAAAAAAAACCTAAATGTTTTTTTTTTTTTAGGGTGTTTGTTATTTTCCGCTACCAAAATTAATACAACTCGAGGAAAAAGCAGATAAAAATATAACAAAATAAAAACATTCTTTAATATACAATTTATTTGTGGCTTTTGTTAGTCAGCATATTATGGAAATTATTTGTACTAGAAATATGGACAAATTTAAAGTTTTTTTCAAAAATGTTTTTGCTAAATTTTACTGTTTTTATCAATAAAAGCAGGAAAGCAAGAAAACTAAATGCTATTTATTTGTAAAAAACATTTTTTTAATTTTTTAACAAGTTTATGTAAAAGAAAAAGTCATTAATTCTAATATTCAAAAAAAAACCCCATTAAAATAGTCTGCACTTTTGTTGGACTCTCCAAATTGTGCATTTAAACCCAATAGTTTTTTTCCTGATGAACTATTGTTATTAGCGATGCTCCATGCTCCTAAACAAACAATCATGTTCATTATCTAGTATTTTGTATTAGTTTTGAATAATTTGGCAATATAAAGGAAACAATTTCAGACAGGCATCAAATGTGGTAAATACATTTATCAAAAAAACCATGCAATTCTTTTATTTAATTTTTTTAATTACAAAATTTATTATTCAAATAATAAAATTAAAAATAAATAGTAAACAAATAAATTTATTTTCTTATTTTCATAAAACATAAGTATTGAGAAAAAATGTCAAATATAGCAAAGTCGTTTTTAAAAGCCAAAAGATATATAAACGCAAAAAAGAAAAATTAACAAAATTTCTCATAGTTCCAGCGTACATAGCAAATTAATTTCTTAATTATATGGGCTGATAAAAATCATGAATAAGTTGCATATCAAAATTTTAAATTGTTATTAAATTGTTATAAAATGTTTCTTTTCTCAACTTGTATAAGTTTCTTTTGCTAAAAATAACAACCACCCTAAAAAAAAAAGAATACAAAAGCTGTATAAAAATTTAGAGAAAAATGTTTTTTAAGTTTTTTTATTTAAATTTCTAAATATTTCTAGTGTATTTAATTTAAATTTAATATTTTGTTACGAATTTGTTTACTTCTTTATGGTTGTTTTTTTTACTCAGTAAATAAGTTTAGTTTTTTAATGCGAATTATTAAACGCTAAAATATTAAATGACTGAAGTTAAAAGATGCAAACTGCCGTGGTCAATGTGTCTAAAAAAATTACTTCAAACGTGGACAAACAAGTTGTGCAACCACAGGCGCTTCCCGGGAAGGCTTGCTTTCCCGAAAAAGGCTCTTCTTGTTTAAGAAGGTAGTGTTCTACCACTACACCACTACGCATTCAATATATTCAATACTGAAGTTCAAGTAAGCAAAGACGCTAAAGATTAAGGAATGCAATTGCTGGTCTGCAAAACTCGTTAATGTCTAAACGGGCATTGAATTGCAAAACATTACTTTAGCAAATTCATTTTATTTAACATAAAAAAAGCATTATTGAAACCTGTCTAAACCACACAAGTGTGGAACCATTTAAAAAAATCCTCTATTTATTCAAAATTTTATAGTTTTGCAAAAAAAAAAACTATAAATTAAATGCTATATCTTTTCTCAAATCCTTTTGATCTAATGAAATTTTGTCTGTTGTTATTTTGTTTTAAGTGAGTCTCAAATATTGCAATCATTTTTGGTTTGTTTTTCATAAAGGCTAACAGACATCTAAGGTCATCAATATAGAATGTTGATATACTTATATAAGCAAGACTTGAAGAATTCTTATTTATTGTATTATTGTATTCAGTTGAGAATTTATTTGCACCATTTATGCTTGAGTTCATTATAAGAAAGATTTAAATATGGCAAAAGTGTTTTGCAAACTTGTATAACATTAATTGCCTGTTTCTGACATAAGATAAATGTAGCTATTATTAATTACATTTCGTATGGATCCATTTATTGCAAGAATTGCAATGTATTACTTTGTAATTACTTAAAACAGATTTATGACAAATGCCACAAGGTAAACTTGACACCCTATATAATATAGGGTCATTCCATATAAGATGAGCCAATTATTTGAAAATTTCCTGAGTGGCTATCTCAGATTTTTTTGAAATTTACACCTGTAGATTTTGTGGTAAAAGAATTTCTCAAAAATTTCAACTCATTATCTTAAAACATTCTAAAATTATGTCAATTTAAAAAATAATGTCTTAGCTTATTTCGCGTTGTTTATTGTCTTTTTCATAAAAATTCTATTTTTTAAATCCATATAAATAAAAAACCAACTATCTTAAATACTTAAAAATCAATTTGATTGCAGTAATCTACCTCGACCCTTAAAGAAGAAAAAATTATGTTATTTTGTGAGAATATAGGTGGTAGTCATCATTTATGATAAGTTTTGTAATATTGGATTCAAAACTATAGAAGTTACACCCTCCTAAAAAAGCCAATCTTGAAATTTTAAAGTTAGATCCATTTATGAATTGAGAATTAACCAATAAATGTAACACTTGATGTGTCCAATAAATTTAACACTTGAAATTTTTAAGAATGTATCTTCAAAGTAAGAAGAATACAGAAAAAATACAGAAAAATAATTTGGGGATGTCTTTTAGCTGTGATAACTTAAACTTTCTATCAAAGTAGGATTTTGGAAATCTTATCAGCCTCTTTGAATTTGTTAATATAGTCAATATCTTTATAATTGTTCATTTATTCTTTTTTAAACAAGAAATTTAAAAAATAAATTTTAAAATAAAAATATCCGTACACAAAGGCTTATATTTTTACAATATATGAATAAATTTGAAACTTAAAAAAAGCCAAGATATAAATCTCAATTACAATAAAAGAATGTAAAAAATAAAATTATAAATAATAAATCTTGTTTTTAAAATAATAGTCTAAATCCTTTTGTTGAACATTTCAAAATTTAATGATATTTCTTTAAATTCTTGCTCAGAAATTTGACTTTGTGCAACCAAACTATTTACTTTTGCTAAAACATTTCAGAATTTCTAATGAATTTAATACCTGTTATATTTTCAGTACACCATTTAAACATTTTATTGACA